TCCTGGCCCGGGCCTCGAGATGGACCTGGGACCCCGGGGCGCCCCTCCAGCGGCCCGCGTAGGCCACAGTCCAGCTCCGCTCGAACGGGACCCGCAGGGACCTCAAGCGAAGAAAGTGCGGTGCCCCACGTCCGAGTCCAGGGGATGTTTAGTCTCCGAAAAGCCTCCGAGATCCAGCTCCTCTGGTGGTCAGAGCCCGGGACCGCGCGCCTCACGGATTCTGAGAAGACACCGAGACCTCCTTACAAGTTTCTTTGATAGCGTGCTCTCGCTTCGGCGAACACGGCCCAACTGCGGCGACTACTTTTATTTGTCTCCCAGCGCGTCGATCTCCAACTCCAAATCCCCAGCAGACGGTCGTAGCCCTGAAGACACGACCTCCGACAACGGACGACGCATCGAGGGCACGAGCCAAGGGACCACAGAAGAGCCACGTATCCACGACTGCGTTTTCGCCCCGAACACCTTTTCGACGAATATTTGTATTGAAACAGATGGCCAGAGGGGCTGACGGCGAGTATAACTCTCGTGGATGAACACATAGACCTTTTCCATGAGACACAAGAGCTCCGGGAAAAGCGAAAACAGAGCCGTGACATGGCCCACGAAACGCTCCAGCTCCTGCCCTGTGATAGCAGGTCGAACCTCAAGAAGATAGTCGGCCGCCAGTTTCAACCTCCAGAAACGATTAGCTTTAGGACGCCATTCCCCCGACGTGCCCACCAAAGTGAAACCAATGAAGTCATTGTCCCCCGCCCTCTGAGAGTCTCCATGGTCGACTCCGATCCCGAAGGCCCGCGACGTGCGACTCCTCTCTGGCTCACATTGCTCTCGAGCCGTACGAGGTGGCAACCGACCTTAGACTGGCAATGGAAACGAAATTGTCGATATAAAGTCCGCGAAGCGACCCCACGTCGCCAAGAGGCGGGAGCGGGACCTTATCTAGGAGCCACGGGGCCTCGGGGGAAACTTTATCGAGCTGATACTGGTTAGCGGCCTGTACAAGAGCCACGGCCCAATTCCAACCCATCGGCACACCACGCGAGCCCGCACGCGGGCCCAGCCCCGATTACGAGCCGCATCCGGGAAGCGCGGCGAACGAGGTCCGGGGGACAGGTGCGCAATAGGAAGGGAGGGCAGGCCGAAAAAACACCTGTTCTGTTCAGGAAGAGTAAACTGGTAATAGCAGACTTCGACATCGCCCCCGTGCAGCACGGGGATCACATGAGGCTCGCATTCGAGATGAGCGAGAGCCTCACCAGAGGGCAAGACCACACCAGGAGGCTCGCGGAACCGAAGGTTAGGCACACGAGTGTCCCAGATCAGGCGAAGAGCACCTGATTTTTTTCAAACGAAAAACAAGCCACTTTCTTCGAGTACATCGTCGCTGACTTCCACAACGCCAGCGGCCCAGAGCTCAGAAGGGAACTCTCCAAAAAGTTTGGGGTTATCCCGAAGGACGGGATCGAGGAAAAGGCTGCCACCAAAGCTGTCACGGCGAGCGGCAGCCTCGTCCTCAGAAAGTAGGATTGACCGATCTTCAAGCGCAGACTGCAGGGCGGGCGGCAGGCACTCACTCAGCGCAACTCGCCCAGAGAGCCCCGCGGGAAGCGACACGTTCCCTCGCTCGAAGTTCGCCCGAGCACCGACGGCCATCGCGTCATCCGCGTAGCCGGGCCGCGTACCCTGGAGCGCCTCCCACGCTCCCAGGGCGCTCCCGCAGTCAGGCGGGGGAGCGACGACTGATCCGCACTGCCGAGCAAGGTGTCGAACGGCTGAGACCTGAGCAGAAGTCAAAGACGAAGGCGAAGTCGCCAGCGGCTCCGGGGCGCCCAGCTCGTTCAAGGCGCGGATGCCCTCGAACAGCCAGACCTCCTGAGCGCGTCGACGTCGAAGCCGGCGCCGCTGGCTCTGGGACAAGCCCAGCCCGCTGGCACCCCCGGCACAGATCTCCGAGGCGGCCGCCAGGGAGATCGGCAGAACGTCGCGCTGCCTCATCTGCTGCGAAGCTGAAAGCGCCTCAGGGTGGTCCCACCTGCCAGCCCTGAACCCCTCACGAGGGCCCTCGAGGAGGCAGGGCAGACCCCCCCGCGGCGGCCCCGCCCCCTCTCCTTTGGCCAGAGCGGCCTCCTCACGCGCCTTACGGCGCTCCTTCAGCACGGCGGCGCGGGCCGCCAGCTCCTTCGCCACGTAGTCCTCCAGCTCAGGCATGACGATGGCGCTGCCCCTCAAGTTCTTCGCGCCTAAGAACAGAGAGCGCTCGCTCAGCCAGTCGTCACCGCCCGAGCCGCCCGTGTCCACCTCTCGCAGCAGATCCTTGTAGGCGCTCTCTCACATCTGATAACGCCGGCTCGCGAGCTCGAACGTCGCCAGGTTGCAGACCTGCATCTGATCGATCGCCATGCCGACCTCCAGGAGCTGGGGCAACAGCAAGTGCTCGTCCACGCCGACGTCCGTCGCCGACAGCCCCATCACCGAGCGCCACCAATAGTGCCGTTGCACCGGGCTGTGGTTGCCCTCGTAGATCCGCTCAGCCGTGAAATCCGTCGAGCGCGGACCCTCGATCTCCCAGCTCTTCCCGAAGTCGGCGGGCTTCATGTCCTGCAGCGCGCTCGCGAAGGAGCGGCGATAGCGCTGCTGGGCGCCCTGCCTGGCGGACAGGATGCGGGAGTCGCCCTCGCCCTCCTCCTCCTCCTCCTCCTCCTCCTCCTCCTCCTCCACCTCCCCTCGCCATCCTCCTCCTCCTGCTCCTCCTCCTTGTCCTCCTCCTCCTCCTCCTCCTCCTGCTCTCACCTTCCTGCTCCTCCTCCTCCTCCGCCTCCGCCTCCTCTTCCTCATCCCACCTTCGCCTCCTCCTCCTCCTCCTCATCACCTTCCTGCTCCTCGAAACTCGTTCCGTTGCCGCTCGCTGCACTATCATCCGTCCTGCCGCCTCTCATTTCCTTTTCCCCCTCCATCTCCTTTCCATCTCCTCCATCTCCTCCTTTGCATCCGCCCTCCTCTGCATCCGCCTTGCCTACACTCCCCTTCCGCCTCCTCTTCATCCGACTCTTCTTCCTCCTCCTTTTCTCCTCCTCCTCCTCCTTCTCACACGTACTCCTGCTTCTCGTCATCCTCCTAAAAATCAGACTCCCTGGTATCCGCTTCCTCCTGTGTTTTCTCCTCCTCCTGTCCCTTCCTCTCATCCTCCTCCGCTCCCTCGTCCCCCTGGGCAAGGACCTGGGCGTTGGGGTGCAGGAGGCAGAGGTGGGCGCTTCAATCGGAGTTGCTTACGGCACATGGGTGCACCGCTCCACAATATCCCCCTCAGATGCTGACGCGTTCGGTTCCGCTCTGAAGGTTTCGGATGACGAGGTGCTTGATGAGCCCAACGAAGGTTAGGCGCGCACTGCTCTGCGGAGAGAGGGCCCTATCCCATTTAGTCATGCACTCGTGCACTACTCCTTCTCCTCCTCCGCCTCCTCCTCCCCCTGCTCTTCGCGTATCTCTCTCTCTCTCTCTCTCTCTCTAATTTCTCTCTTGTTCCCATGCCACCAAGTTGGCCGAGGGCTCGCGGATCTGGGGGTTCGCTTGGTTTCTGCCTCCCCACACACGCGGGAATCTCCTCCCCCACCTTTCCTCTCATCTTCTATGCATCATGCGCCATCATCATTACCACGCGCACTCACGCACCAACAACAGCATCATCAGCATCATCATCATCATCGTCATCAGCATCAGCATCATCATCATCTTCATCATCAGCAGCATCACCATCAGCATCATCATGACCATCAGTATCAGCATCATCACCATCATCATCCTCGTCGTCATCCTCGTCCTCATCCTCATCCTCATCCTCATCCTCATCCTCATCCTCCTCATCATCATCATCATCATCATGACCCTGACTACTCTCTTTCCAGACCACTGCTTGCGGTGAACAGGTGAGCATATTCAAACCAATTCTGCCCCAGCTTTTTGGGGGTGGGCGGGTTCTGGGTGAACCAGAAAGACTGCAGAGCGGAAAACGGATGACGAGGTCAGGTCATTTCCGCGGGGCACAAACATGACCCTGACTACTCTCTTTCCAGACCACTGCTTGCGGTGAACAGGTGAGCATCTTCAAACCAATTCTGCCCATAAACAGGACCCCCGCATACAGCACTGGAGTGGCGAATTTATTCGACGAAATATTTCAGGTTAGGTATTGCTGCAGGAAGACCCCCCCGAGGCCCCAAGATTAGAAGGGGAAGGACAAGGAGGAGGGAAGAGAAGAGAAGGCTGGCCACAGCTCGTGCACACGCAAGAGGCTGAGGGACGAGGCGATAGCCTTGGATAGCACGAGGCACAGCTTCTCGGGGTAAACCTGCTTCTGGCGTGTCAAGAATCCCCCTTGTCCCGTGGGCCCGTCCAACTGATAATGTGGTTTTCCCGAAAAGCTGCAAGTACCACGGCCCTTACATTTTGCACCTTCCAGAGCCGAACACTTAACGTTGAACAGGTTGAGACGAGTACGAGCTCTCCAAGGCGTGCCGAAAGCGCAATAATCAACAATATATGTCGTGCACTCGGGACGTCTCATCATGGCAGGCCGACGGTAGCCAAGCCACAAGTAGCTCTGGGAAGGGTTTTCCTCCCCACACGGCAGGCCTCGCTGGATACACGCTTCTAGCAGAACGCCGGATCGATGAGCCAGCGCGTTACCTTCGGCAACTGTCTGCTGATCACGCACATCAAGATTTGGAAGACCTGCGGGGTATTCAGGACTGCGCAGCCTATGAGGAAGTCGTGACCACTGCGGCGCCCGTCGGGCCATCGTGAACGATTGACATGGGGTGCCTGACCACATTCCCAAGACCAGCCCTGATCGAATCCATCCAAGAAGGGTGTTGAACGCATTATCATTCAGCAGGTCGTGGGACGGCCCGTGGCAGATATCAATGCAAACGACAGCGATATTCCGCTCCGCCAAAGCAGCCGCCAGCCCTCCTGCCCCCGAGAACAAGTCTAGAAAGATCCTCGGGCCGAGGGGCTGCGGCTGCGCAAGAGCTTGGCGCAGCGCTCGACGAAGGGCGCGAGGCCGCGGCCCACCAGCGCCGCGATCTGACCCCTCACCGTCGCGGGGAGCTTGCCGAGCTGCAAGGACACCCGCGCGTGCTTGTCGTAGCGAGCGACGCTCCGAAAGCTGCGCCAGTGCCCCCTCTGCTGCACCTCGAGGAGCGACCGCGCTCGAACGAGACGATCGTGGCTGGCGCCCCCGTGCCGCAGCGCGTAGAGGCTCGACTCGACGCAAGAGACCTTCACCTGCTGCACGGCCAGCACGAAGGACCGGCACAACTGCCTCGAGCTGACGTCGAAGAGGCGCTCCCCGCGGGCGCGCCCCGCCTGCAGCGCCTGCAGCAGCGGGATGAGTGGGCGGCGGCGGTCCAAGTCGAGGAGCACGCTCAGGTCGAACTCCTGGGTCTTGGACGGCCGTCCCAGCTCCTCCACGTGAACGCAGAAGCCCCAGAACGCGCCCTGGCCGCGCGACGTCGTGGGCGGCACAAGCTGCCCCACAGTCAGGCTGAGGAGCTCCGAGGGGCGCATGTAGGTCTCGAACATGACGATGATGGCAAGGGCGCCCACAGGGCACTCGGGCAGCATCGCCCACGCCAAGGCCAGCACGACGCCCCAGGGCAGCGGCGGGCGGCTGTGCCCCGGGTCCAGCTGGCGCCAGCCTAGCATGGCCGCATGCGCGCCGGGGAAGACCTGGCGCAGCGGGCCGCCCAACGTAGGCTGGGCCCACACCACGGCGGCCAGCAGCCGAGAGGCCAGCGCCCGCGACCACCCCTCGCCCCGCGCCCACTCCACGAAGTTGAAGAGCTGGAGGCCCCACTGCGGGCCCGACCAAGCGGGCAGCGGCCACTGATTCAGGTAGCCAGCCAGCTGCTCCAGCACGTCGCAGTAGCCCGCCTGCGTCGCCGGGCGGATGCGCTCCTGCTGCAGGCAGGTCAGCAGCGGGGCCAGCAACAGCAGCCGCGCCCGCGTCGCCGTCCGGAGGCGCTCCAGGCGGCCCGAGCCCTGGCGGCCCCCAGGGCCAGCGGGGGTTGAGCGGGCAACCCGCCGTGCGCCACCATGACGGATGGGCTGGCAAGCCCCAGGGGCGCTCGGCCCAGCGCGACCGCTGCTCGCGCGGCCGCGGCCCGTCGGCGCGCCGGCAGAACGGCTGCTGGAGCAGCCCGGGCCCGCATCGTCCTCGTCGTCGGAGTCGGACGGGACCGCAAGCAGCAACTGCGCTGGAGGCAGGCAGGCGGTGCTGGACATGGACTGCCACTTTCGCTTGGCCCCCATGCCGAGGCTGGTGAACTCGGCTCGCAGCGTCCAGAGCGTTGAGCTCCGAGGGGGCCCATCGGTCGTGAAGCTTGAGCCCGACGGCGAGAGCAATGGCAGACGAGAGCCGGCACTGAAAGTTCATGGCCGGAGTCGACGACCTGCCCTTCGCGCGCGCACAAATCACCGACATGTTATCGCCCAGAAGCAGCACACGAGTGTTATGAAGGCTACAATCTCGAGCAACATGTCGCACCGTCCAGGTCCTAGCCCGGGCCTCGAGATGGACCTGGGGCCCCGGGGCCCCCCTCCAGCGGCCCGCGTAGGCCGCAGTCCAGCTCCGCTCGACCAGGGCCGCCGGGACCTCAGCGAAAGAGCGGGCCCGTCCGAGTCCCAGGATGTTGGTCTCCGAAGCCTCCGAGATCTCCAGCTCCTCCTGGTGGTCCAGAGCCCGGGACCGCGGCGCCTCTGAGATACTGAGAAGACCCCGAAAGCGTGCTCGCTCACGAACACGGCCCACAGCGGCGACCTCACTAGTCTCCCAGCGCGTCGATCCAACTCCAAATCCCCAGCAAGACGCGTCGTGGCCGAAGACACGACTCGACAACGGACGACGCATCGAGGCACGAGCCAAGGGCAGAAGAGCACGTATCCACCGAACTTCGCGATGAACAGACGGCCAGAGGGGCTGACGGCGAGTGTAACTCTCGTGGATAAACACATAGACCTTTTCCATGAGGCACAAGCTCCGGGAAAAGCGAAAACAGAGCCGTGACGTGGCCCACGAAACGCTCCAGCTCCTGCCCTGCGATAGCAGGCCGAACCTCCAGGAGATAGTCGGCAGCCAGTCTCACCCTCCAGAAACGATTAGCTTTTGGACGCCACTCCCCAGACGAGCCCACCAAAGTGAAACCTATGAAGTCATTGTCCCCCGCCTCTGAGGTCTCCGAGGTCGACGCGATCCCAAGGCCCGCGAGCTGCGACTGCATGCTCTCGACGTCCGAGGTGGCAACCGACTTAGACTGGGCAATGGAAACGAAATTGTCGATATAAAGTCCGCGAAGCGACCCGACGTCGCCAAGAGGCGGGAGCGGGACCTTATCTAGGAGCCACGGGGCCTCGGGGGAAACTTTATCGAGCTGATACTGGTTAGCGGCCTGTACAAGAGCCACGGCCCAATTCCAACCCATCGGCACCGCGCGAGCCCGCACGCGGGCCCAGCCCCGATTACGAGCCGCATCCGGGAGCGCGGCGACGAGGTCCGGGGACAGGTGCGCAATAGGAAGGGAGGGCAGGCCGAAAAAACACCTGTTCTGTTCAGGAAGAGTAAACTGGTAATAGCAGACTTCGACATCGCCCCCGTGCAGCACGGGGATCACATGAGGCTCGCATTCGAGATGAGCGAGAGCTCACCAGAGGGCAAGACCACACCAGGAGGCTCGCGGAACCGAAGGTTAGGCACACGAGTGTCCCAGATCAGGCGAAGAGCACCTGATTTTTTTCAAACGAAAAACAAGCCACTTTCTTCGAGTACATCGTCGCTGACTTCCACAACGCCAGCGGCCCAGAGCTCAGAAGGGAACTCTCCAAAAAGTTTGGGGTTATCCCGAAGGACGGGATCGAGGAAAAGGCTGCCACCAAAGCTGTCACGGCGAGCGGCAGCCTCGTCCTCAGAAAGTAGGATTGACCGATCTTCAAGCGCAGACTGCAGGGCGGGCGGCAGGCACTCACTCAGCGCAACTCGCCCAGAGAGCCCCGCGGGAAGCGACACGTTCCCTCGCTCGAAGTTCGCCCGAGCACCGACGGCCATCGCGTCATCCGCGTAGCCGGGCCGCGTACCCTGGAGCGCCTCCCACGCTCCCAGGGCGCTCCCGCAGTCAGGCGGGGGAGCGACGACTGATCCGCACTGCCGAGCAAGGTGTCGAACGGCCGAGACCTGAGCAGAAGTCAAAGACGAAGGCGAAGTCGCCAGCGGCTCCGGGGCGCCCAGCTCGTTCAAGGCGCGGATGCCCTCGAACAGCCAGACCTCCTGAGCGCGTCGACGTCGAAGCCGGCGCCGCTGGCTCTGGGACAAGCCCAGCCCGCTGGCACCCCCGGCACAGATCTCCGAGGCGGCCGCCAGGGAGATCGGCAGAACGTCGCGCTGCCTCATCTGCTGCGAAGCTGAAAGCGCCTCAGGGTGGTCCCACCTGCCAGCCCTGAACCCCTCACGAAAGCCCTCGAGGAGGCAGGGCAGACCCCCCCGTGGCGGCCCCGTCCCCTCTCCTTTGGCCAGAGCGGCCTCCTCACGCGCCTTGCGGCGCTCCTTCAGCACGGCGGCGCGGGCCGCCAGCTCCTTCGCCACGTAGTCCTCCAGCTCAGGCATGACGATGGCGCTGCTCCTCAAGTTCTTCGCGCCTAAGAACAGAGAGCGCTCGCTCAGCCAGTCGTCACCGCCCGAGCCGCCCGTGTCCACCTCTCGCAGCAGATCCTTGTAGGCGCTCTCTCACATCTGATAACGCCGGCTCACGAGCTCGAACGTCGCCAGGTTGCAGACCTGCATCTGATCGATCGCCATGCCGACCTCCAGGAGCTGGGACAACAGCAAGTGCTCGTCCACGCCGACGTCCGTCGCCGACAGCCCCATCACCGAGCGCCACCAATAGTGCCGTTGCACCGGGCTGTGGTTGCCCTCGTAGATCCGCTCAGCCGTGAAATACGTCGAGCGCGGACCCTCGATCTCCCAGCTCTTCCCGAAGTCGGCGGGCTTCATGTCCTGCAGCGCGCTCGCGAAGGAGCGGCGATCGCGCTGCTGGGCGCCCTGCCTGGCGGACAGGATGCGGGAGTCGCCCTCGCCCCCCGCAGCGGGGCCCGTCGGCAGCGTGCCCTCGAGCCCTCCGATCAAAACTGTGCCATCCTTCAGCTTGAAGATACAGCGATCGTTGGACTCGAACTCGACTGGCCCCAGCGAGGCGGTGAGGGCGTCACCAAGCCCCACACTGCCACGAGCCTCCATCGCGCGCCACTTCGCGGCGGGCCCGGCGCCCGCGCCCGCCGCGGTCGGAGCAGCCGCAGGAGCCGCAGCCCCGGCGGGACGAAGGCCCCGCGCGAGAGCCTCCCCCGTGTCCATGTAGTACTGCCTGTCCTGGCCGAAGCGGTAGTGGTCGACCAGGTAGTGAGAGAGCGCGCGCACCGTCGCGGGCGCCTGCCCGTTGGCCAAGAACCGCTTCAGGTCGTCGGCCTCGGCGAAGTCCTCCTCGAAGATGTCCCCCGCGAGACGACGACCCACTTGGAGTCGCTGATGTGGCCTAGCAGGATCCGCTCATGCCATTCCACCGCCGCCCCGCCCGCGTCCTGATAGTAGCAGACGAGGACCCGATCGCCTGGCTTGGCCGACCCCTGGAGCCACGCCAACGTCGCCATCTTCCTCGACGAGGGACACGAACGTGTCGTTCACAACCGGCGAAGCGCCCAAGCTGCGGCGCCCGAAGCTGCAGCCGACCAGCAAGCCAAGCGTGAAGGCGATGACCGAGAAGAACGCCAGCAGCCCGAGCAAGGCCGTGAGCCCGATCCCCTCGGCGGCCTCCGAGTGGCAGTGGCAGTCGCACTGGCAGACGCACTGGTTCGAGCGCCCGACCAGCTCCGCCAGGAGACGGCGCTCCCCGCTGACAGGCTCCGCGGCAAGCAGAACCTCAGGCACCTCGCAGGTGCACTCGACTGGCGCGTGCCACAAGAGTGTACGCAGGAAAGCAAGTTCTCGGAGTGCAGAGAAGCTGAGGAAGAGAGCTTCCATATGGTTCTGACTTGAACCAAAAAGACTGCAGAACGGAAAACGGATGACGAGGTCAGGTCATTTCCGTGGGGCACAAACATAATCATCATCATCAACATCATCATCAGTATCCCCGGGCACACACTCGCACAGCCACGCGCTCATATACTCACTCTGATACCCAAGCACTCGCATGCTGATGCACGCGTCGTGAAGAAGTCTGGATCGGGAACTTCGTATGTGACTGACGTGCGAAGAGGTCTCAGCCCGTAAGTCCCCCAGATGAAGTCCCCCCCCCACCTCACGTTACTAATCCGAAGCAGGATCTTCAAAATCCGATGCTGTCGTTGCGGTTGAACTCTTCTAGGCTGAGTATGGAGGAAATCTCGGGCGGGAGCCTCGTCTGTTCGTGAATCTCGCGGGTGTCTCGACCTGGATCCCTCCTCTACGGATCCCCCAAACTCACGTCACCAACCCGAGGTGTCATCAAAGTACCGTGCAGTCGATGCGTTGACCTAAGGAACCCTAAATAAGGAACGAGGACCCTTTTTCCCAAAAGTTCAACCTCGATTTCCCATGGAAAACCTCAGGAAAACCCGAGGCAAATTTTGAAACAATCAAGGAACACCGAGCCCCTCCCCAACGAAAAGGGTTCCTTCTTCAGCGCCCCGACTGTGACTGTCGTCGTGGTTGGTCCCTCCATGCTTGCATGTGGCGGGCCTCTTGAGCGCGAGCCTCGCGTGCAGCTGGACTGCGGAGAACTCCCGAGCGGGAGCCCCTCCCGATGGCCCTGCCCTCCTCCTTCCTCCTCCTCCTTCTTCTTCCTCCTCCTTCCTCCTCCTCCTCCTCCTCCTCCGCCTCCTTCCTCCTCCTCCTCCTCCTTCCTCCTCCTCCCTCCTCCTCCTCCTTCCTTCTCCTCCTCCTCCTCCTTCTCCTCAATTTTCTCAATCTCCTCCTCCCTCCTCCTCCCCGCCTCGCGTTATTCATCCGGCGGGGTCATCGGGATCCGGTAACTGTCTTCGCTCTTCGGCCCCTGGGCCCAAAATGGTTGGGATGTTTCGAACGGGCGCAACATCTGCGAGTGATTCGCGAGGAAGTCACGAGCGGGAGCGGACCCTTCCCTAACTATGGTAGCCTCGCCGCAAGTTTCTCATCCGACGGGGGTCGTCGGAGTGTTGTAGCTGTCGTCGCATTTGTTCAAGCGGACGGAGATCAGGACGACGACAGCGATCAGAAGGTCGAAGAACTTCATCTTGCGACTCAGTCGCGGCACGTTCAGATAGTCGCATCGCCCCGCAGCGCACCCCTGACGCTCCATCCAAGTGTTCCCGCAGATCCCCGATGTCTTAGCACACGAAGCGCTTCGACGCGGGGGATCCTCTGATCGCGTCCATGGGCGCGCGCACGGGGCCACGCGTTTCCCGCCGACGGTCTGGTCCGCCAAAGAGAAGACGCTGGCCTGGAACAGGCGCGGCACCCTGAAACCCTGGGCCCACTCGTGCGCTGGGAGGTTATGTTCAATTTTGCTACCGGGGGCAGCTTCTGCTACAAAGTGCCACGCGTCGACGCGATCGCGGCGCCTCCCAATCTGCGCGCAGACTGCCAGTGGCCTAAAACGCATGAGGCTCATGAGGCCCCGCTCAAGACACCCCGAACAAAAAAGGCATGGGAGGGGAGAAGAAGTAAAGAGGCTTGAGCGCTGATTATGGCAACAGGACGCATCAATCGCACAACGCCCCTCACCTTCCCGTGCAAGCACACACAGGCGATGTTCAGTTTTCGGGGCAGTTTCTGCTGCGAGGTGCCGCGCGTCGACGCGACCGCAGCGCCTCCCAATCTGCGCACAGAGTGGCAGGACCCTAAAACGCATGGTGCTTCCGATCGAGACATTCCAGAACCCGAACAGGGCGATCGGAGACCGAGGAGGCTCCCACGGGCGGGCGGGATAGGGAACAAAAGAAGGAGAAGGCCATGCCGGAGCACTCAGCTAGCCGAGAAAACAAAAGTACACTGGCGGGTCGAGACCGCTTGGCGGGGCAGAGGGCCAGCGTCAGCCAGAAGTTAAACAAAAATCTATTGCATCTCGTTCATGGGGCAGCGTTGTCTGGGCCATGGCCTTAAATAAACTTGCGGGACATGCAGCCGCGATGGCTGCCAGCCCCCTGCCCGCCGGAGCCGCCCATTCTCGCCGGCCCAACTGGCCAGAGGCGTGCTAAGATCTCCGGTAACTGCGTACAGTATTTCTACTTCGCGCGCGCGGAGCGGCCCCTCGGGGTCCCTGGACGAAAAATACCCCGGGCGGTCCCCGGCCGGTTCGGGTCAGATCCCCAGCTGGGTCGGGTCGGGTCGGCGCCGCCCTCGAGGCCCGCCAGAAAACCCCCAAAAGGGCCAAGAGGCCCCCAAGAGGCCCCCAAGATAGAACAACAGGGTTCCGAGATGCCACAAGATCCTCAAGATTGCCCCCAGACGCCCCAAGAGGCTTCCAAATGCACTCCCAGAAGGACACCAAGAGGTAAATTTGATTGATTTCCCTTAGGTTTTGGACAGATTTGGGTGTTTCCCCCTTTTCGGCTTCCCGACGCCTCTAGACGGTCCAGAGGTCCCCAAGATCGCCCCAAGAGGGTCCAAGAGGGCTCCAAGGGAGCTCCAAGACGGCCCAAGAGGGCTCCAGGACCGCCCAAGACGACTCCAAGACGGCCCAAGAAGGCTCCAAGAGAGGCCCTAAAGGGGGAACACGAAACAGTATTTCGAGACCTCGGCCATTAACAACCCCCAGGAAATTCCCAGAGGTCCCTAAGAGGCCCCAAAAGGCCCCCGACAGGCAGTCAGGAGGCCGCCAAAAGGCCCCCAAGAGCCCCAACAAGGCTCCAGGTTAAAGACGTCCCTGTGCGAAAATGGGCCGGCGGAGTGAGCGAAGCGATCCGCCGCCCCACCGGGTATGGCGTGCGAGACGCCCACGCAAGATCTCCAAGAATTCTTTCCCCTGAATCGCCTCGTACCCCTGCCCTTCCTCAGAGCTCTCGCAACCCCTCCTGGGATCCTCCCCGCAGCCCGCTTATTCCGCCGGCCCGGGGGCCCTGGCTGCGGAACGGACGCTTTCTGGCCACCACTTCCGTCCCAAAACCGCCTCTTTTTCACGTGCTACGCTTCCAGGCGCCGCCGAATCCTATCAGAGACCTCTCCTGGAGCCCACAGGGCCGGCTTTTGGAGCCTCCTGGGGCCCTCCTGGCCTGATCTTCACCGTCTGTCAGGCCACTTTCGGCCGTTCCAGATGCCTCCCACCTCTCTTCCAGTCACATGCGCCAAACAATGCAAACAAACAAAAAAACATCGTAAATCACATAGGATTATTTCTGGCCTTCTCGGGGTTCTCCTCGCGCCTCTCTTGGAGCTCCCGTGCACCTCTGCGGGCTCCTGCGGCCATCTTGGAAGCTGCGGATGCTCACTCTGGCCGTCCTGACAGACTCTCGGACCCATCTAAGGTCGTCTGGCCGCATTTTGTGGCGCCCTCTTGTGCCGTCTTGGGCGCGCTCAAGGGGTCCCTGGAAACTTTCTGAGGCCCCAAAACTAATCCGGACCGCTTTGTTTACCTCTCCGTATCCCTCTTCCATTTCAGCCGCCGTTTTCGACAATTTGGGGTGCCCTTTTGGGCTGTTTTCGGAGCCTCTTGGAGACCTCTACGGCTGTTTTTCGATTCTTTTGGGGCTCTCTGGCGCCGACTGGTCCGCCTCAAAAGTCACTGGACAGCACATCTCGCTTCCGTTTACTTGCATCGTCCGCCGACCTCCCCTCGCGAGAAGTCCAGAACCGTGCGAGGTGCACGGGAATACATTTCCCAGTCTGAGGGCCCAACAATGGTTTACGGGTGCTTTTTTCTGCGTTTGCGCATGCCACCGCAGTGTCGCCCCCAGACTTCGACACGCGTGGTGCAATGTCATGCCGTCTTCAGAGCCTCTTGCCGCCCTCGTTGCGCCGCCCTCCAAGCCAATTGGACCCTCTGGGATCGCCATCGACACCCCCACAGAGAAACTCTGGGTTCCCCCATAAAATGGTGCGGCGGTGTCTGCCCCCTCAGGGGCGTTCAATAAAAAACTTGAGGGGCACGCGGCCGCGATGGCTGCCCACCCCCGGCCCGACGGAGCCGCCCATTCGAAAACAAAGCCCTGACGCCTGACCTTGAACAAACGCTACGGACTTGAGCCAAAATGGCGACGGACAGTCTCCAGAGTCTCCTCCCTCCTCCCTCCTTTCCCCTTCTCCTCCTCCTCCTCCTCCTCCTCCTCCTCGTCCTCCTCCTCCTCCCTCTTACCTCCTCCTCCATCGTCCTCCCTCCACCTTCAGGAGCAGAACTGGTAATTGAAGCTTCGGGTGGCGCGCGCAAGGGTTCTTGACCCCGCGTCGATCACTCAACGTTGAATCGATCGCGGCACCGATCGTTCAAGGTTGGATTCCGTCGGATCCTGTGGCGTTGCCGTGCCCTTCGGTGCTTCCGCGTCGTTCTACCATGCGGTGCTCCCGCGCGCCCCCGGTGCCGCAAGGGCGCAGAGTTCAACCTGGAACGCCTTCGCCAGCGTCGCCGGCGCGCCAACGCCACGCGAACCTCACGTAAAGCCTCGATCTGCGCACAAACTGTTTTACCTGGTAGTCCTGGCTGACCTCGACAGGCCCCCATGAGTAGTCCCTGTTTGCCTCAACAGGCCCCCGGAGCAGTCTGGGGCGGTCTCAGCACCCTGGCGTTGCCTCCATCGGTGCCCCTGGGGCGCTCCGCGCCCCTCGTTGGGGTGTTGAGACCGCCCCAGACTGGTCGGGGGGGCGTGTTGAGGCCAGCTTGGACTATAGGGGTCCGCGTGAGGCCAGCCGGGACTACCTCGGGGGTTGTGTCTGTATGCAAACCGGCCTTACCAAGCGGAACGACTGCACAAGCACAGACCTCTGGGGAGCGGCCGCACGGACTTCTTGCATCGGCACCGAAGGCTCCGCCAAGGAGATCCAGCGCTAATCCCAGATGCGTACGGTCGGGGCCTTTTGCTTATCGTGTCGCGGCGGCGACCCCGGCGACACGCTACGCCTTGCACGCTGAAAGCGTGTCGCTGCGCTCCGCATGGCGGGAGGTACGGAAAGGCTCCGGACGTTGATACGTGGGAACCGGGGAGTGCTTCGCGTGTCGCGCCGAAGCGTGGTGGGCCAGAACCAGCGGAGCGACACGCTAAGCCAAAAGTTCCCGACCGCTGTTTCTGCTTTTCTCCGCCGCCATGCGCTAAGCGGGGCCTCACAATTTCGCAAGTCTGCCCGCGGAGACGGCTGCCAGCAGGGAGGGGGGCGGCCGGGATGTGAGAGAAGGGGCACGCGAGGAGGCTGGGGGGATAGGGAGGGGGAACGGCGACTCTTCGATGCGTGGCGGGGTATAGGCTGCAAGCCACGGCAAGACAAGGAGCGGGCGCAGGCACGGGAGATTAGCCGACGGACGCGCCCGGCCTGCGGCCTCAGTGCGCGCGCTCCAGGAAGCCCAGCGCCAGCGGCACGAGCCAGAGCCTCTGCAGCTCGCACCCGCCGAGCTGCGCGCAGCGCTCGGCGAGCGGGCTCGGGTCCTCTGAGCAGGGACCGACCGTCCCGGCAGTCCTATGGGCCCACCACGAAACGCTCCTAGCACCAAGCAATGTTCTGAGAGCAAATGCAGCGTTCTTAGAATAGAAGCCCGACGTGTTCAAACAGGAGAATCCCAAGCAGAATTGTTCCAAGAACACTTCGTGCAGACCACAAGAGGCAAGAGGCTCTTGGAACATCCCTCGGTGACCCCATAGGCAAGCCGAGACGCTTCGCCACTGCTCGAGTCCTTCGCCCGGTACTGGAGCCCTGGCCCCGGCTGCAGCCGCAGGGCGAGGCCGGCGACGGGGCAGGCGCCCGCCTGGCTGGAGCCGCCGGGCGCGCAGCGCACCCGGAAGGGCCCACAGGTGCTCCCGTCCAGGGTCGTCTCGCGGTCCTCCTCCTCGGCCCCGGGGCAGAGGAGGCGGCCTGCCAGCGGCACGGCCTCCTCGGGGACCTCGCCGTCCGCGGCCACCATCACCACGGCGCTCGGCTGTGGGGCCGCCGCGCCGCCGCCCTCCTCTGCGTCGCAGGAGCCGCCCTCCAGCGGCACGGCGTAGACCCACAGCAACACCGACGCCTGGATGTCCACGCGCGGCGGCCTCTGCCCGTCTGCACCAGGGCAGACGACGAAGCCGCTGGAAGAGCCGGGCAGCAAAACGGACGGCACGCCGTGGAGGGCGAGGTCCGCGCGGGGCGCGTCGGCGCCCGCGGGGGCGTCGAGGTCCAGGCAGCCGTCCGCAAGCGTGGCGCCGAGCCTCGAGCCGTTCACGTCGACACCGACCCCGGGCACTCCCCGCCCGCAGCAGCCGCAGCTCAAGCGCAGCTGCGTGCAGCCTCCGCCAGACGGCCCGGGGCCGTCGGAGCGCGACTCGCGGAGGCGCGGGCCGCTGGCGGCGAGGCGCCCGAGCCACAGGGCGCCCCCGCCGCAGCCGGCGTGTCGCAGGGTGCGCGCCAGGATGCACTCGCGGGGGTCCACCTTGGCGTGCAGGGCCACGCGCCAGGTGCTGTCCGCGCTCTCTGGGCCGGCCAACGCGCACGCCACGGGGCAGAAGGGGCCGCCGTCCGGCCCGGTCTTCGCGGAGGCGCAGGCCTGCGCGTCCGCCTCGCACAGGCGCCCCGCGCCGACGCGGAGCAGCTGCGGCGACTCCTTGGGATAACCCTCGTGCTGCATGGCGCCGCGCAGGCCGCCGTCAAAGAACCATACCTCCGGGCTGCTGCTGGGCGCCGCGCGGCCGCGCCGCAGCCATTCGCCGACGTCGCCCGGGACCGCCCACAGCTCGGCCACGCCGCCCGCGTACCGCCCTGCGCGAGTGCCCTCGGGCGCGACGCACACGAACTGCAGCCTCTCGACGGCCAGCGTGGCCCACACTCCGATTGTGGTTTCCGACTGAACTACCAGCCGCTGCTCCACGCAGTCGGGCCCGAGCGCGGCGTGGTGGGCCTGCAGCGCGTGCTCGCCCGCCCCGAGCACGCGGGACACCGGCGACGCATCGGCCCCACTGTTGCCCGCGGCCTTCCCGTCGACCGTGAAGTGGACGTTGGGCATGCACTGTCCGCAGCAGCTGCTCAGAAGCGAGATCTCGGCCACGGGCGCACCGAGCCTCGCGATCTCGATCGGGCGGGTGGCGACGTTGACCTCCCACGGGTCGAAATCCTGGACCGGCGACGCCCGCCACCCGCGGCAGCAGACGATCGTGCCCTCCATCTCCTCCCGGAAGGTGTTCGGGTTCGGCCAGCCCCAGAGCAGCCCCCGCGCGTCCGGCTTGAGCTCCCCGCTCTCGGACTCGAGGCGTCCCTGGAAGGGCCGGAGGCCGGCCACTGGGGCGCGGGTGTGCCCCAGCGCGACGGGGCTGGTGCAGTAGACGACGAGCTCCAAGTCGCCCTCTGCCTGCCACAGCTGCACCACCGAGTCGGCGAAGAACTCCACGCGCGTGTGCGGCGCGGTGACGCGCAGCTCGTGCTGCTGCGGCTCCATGAGCTCGTCGTGGAAAGCCTCCAGCTGCATCTTCGCGCACATGGGCACGGAGATCTGCGCCACCCCGTGCTCCGAGGTCACGCCAGAGGCCACCAAGGGCGCGGGCTCCGCCCCCTCTGCCCCAGCGCGGCCCGGCAGCTGGCCTGAGTCCTCGGCGAAGGCGTGCGAGGCGAGTACGCGCGCCCTCGCCAGGGGTGCCTCCAGCTCGGTCTGGACGCACACCTGGACTGGCACGCGCGGCACGAAGGCGGCCAGCCTCGACAACACGGCCTCGACAGCGGGCCACCGACGGGCGGCCAGCTTGGAGGACACGCACACAGCGGAAAACCGCGGCGGCTGCCCACCATCAGCAGGCATGGGAGGCCCTGGAGGCAGCGGCACCGAGGCCACGGGCTCCAGCGGGCAGCGGGCGCAAAGGTACACCTCGAACGAGCCTACGCGCGGCACCTGCGCCCTGGCTCCCCGCGGGGAGTGGCCTCCGCAGGGCAGCGCTGCGCGAGAGTCCCGCGGCGAGATCGACCGCGGCGCGGGGCTCGTGGAGCCTGAAGACTGCCTCTGGTCGGGGACCAGGGACGCCACGGCGATGTGGTTCTCGAAGTGGTGCCTGACAGCATCCTCCAGCACCAAGAACTTCCCAGAGTACTTAGCCTCGTCGTGCCGGACGTTTGACGCGTGGTCCTGGCAGTTCTGGCACTTCTCGACCAGGACCCACACGAGGGTCTCCGCGCTCTTGGCCGCCAGCTTCCTCAACCGCGCCTCTAGCCGCGAGGCCACCCCAGGCGGGATGTCGGCGGAGGGCACCGGGTCCTTCGGCCGCGCCGCGAAGATGGCCTCCGGGCCAGCGCGGCCCTGGCAGCCTTGCCGCGTCGCGGGCCTCGAGGGGGGCCGCTGCGCTTCTCCACCCCGCGGCGCCCCGCCGTCTGCGCCCCGCCGCGCCGCGGGCCGCTGTGCCTGCTGCGGCGGCGCTGTCGCGGGCGCCGCGCCTTCGACCGACTGAGGCACCAGCTGTGCAATGTGGCTGACGCGTCCTCCCCGCGCCGTGGCAGGTGGCGCAGGCCGCGGCGTGCGCGGGCCGCGGCGCTCCTGGGCCTGGCGCGGCCAGGGCCTGGCGTAGAGTTGCCTTCCCGCCGCGCCCGCCGGAAGGGCTGCTGGCAGCGGGCGCGAGCGGCCGCAGCTCGATGACGCTCGGCCGCAGCTCGGGCCGCAGGAGATGGCACGCGGGCCGGCCCCCGGTGTGGCGGTGGCTGCGCGGCAGCCCACGAGCCCGGCGCCGCTGCACCTGGGCGACGCGTCGGCGTCCTCGCACGGCTGGCCAAGCACCCCCGTGGCGGGCTCGGGCTGGAGGCGCCGCGAAAAGCGCAGCCACACGAGGCCCTCCACCGGCGTGGCCGCCTCGGCTACACGTAAGACTGGCCATAAGCAAGAGTGACCTTTGGTGCCCAGCTCAACGGGGGCTGCGGGGTGGCCAAACCTGTGCGCGCAAGCCGCTGCTACCGCTTCAAAGTCAGCGATCGGGGGGGCTCGTTGGGCCCGCACCAAAAGTCACCCCAGCGAAAGGTCACTCGTTACGTCCAGTCGACCGCCTGCGGCGTAGCAGCTGGGGCGCCGTCGGGCGGCGGCCAGTCGGCCCACGCGACCAGCGGCGGCAGCCTCGCGGCACCCGCCGCCGCCATGGCCCCCACCCACCCAGCCGCGGTCGGCGCGGGCGGCGCGCCCGCACCAAAGGAAGCCCCCGAAAAACAAATCGACCGTAGGCTCAAGGTGATCGCCTCGCCGCCGCCCCTACGGCATCTCGGCCTCGCCCGACTCTATCCTGGAAATCGGGCTCTCCGCGGCCTCCTCCGCCTTCCATCCCGCCGCGGTTGCTCCTTGCTTGCGCGCGTGCGTTTTCCCCCCGGCCTCGCCCTGCCGCTTGCCGTCTCCGTCTTCGCTGACATTTCCGGCCTCCTGACCTGTCGGTCAGGCCTGGCCGCCGGCCTCTCCCCGCCGGTTCCGCTGCTCGCGGGCCGCCCTGACTGATCAGGACCCGCCTCGCTTTTGAGTTCCAACTCGGTTTTCCGGCGGCCGTTCGGGACGATCTGGGCACCCCCAGAATCTGGAGAACATACCAAACAGGAGCATGAGAAGAGGGAGGGCGACACGGCTGGCTCGGGCAGCGGGGGTTGCTACAATGGTTGGCCTGGCTCGTGCGGCCGGTGACCTTCAGCATTCACCACCCGCGCTGGCGTCCCCCGCCGCGTCGGCGGGGCGCGAGGCTGCCACAAGGAGCAAGAGATGCAGGGCAGGAGAGAAGAGTAGGATGAGGAGGGGGGGAAGAGGAGGAGGAGGAGGAGGAGGAGGAGGAGGAGGAGGAGGAGGAGGAGGAGGAGGGAGGAGGAGGAGGAGGAGGAGGAGGAGGAGGAGCGGGAGGAGGGGGAGGAGGAGCGGGATGAGGAGGAGGAGCCCACGCCACTGGAGAGGTGCACCATCCCTCCACCCGCGCCTAGGCCTCGGCCGCGCTGGCCGCGCCGCCCGCCTCTTCAGAATTGAAGTCGTTGAAGTCGCCGTCCACCACGTAGTGGGCGCCGACGGCCATGCCGTCGGAGTCCAGCCCGTCGCAGTCCATCATGTCATCATGATTGAATGCGGGCAAGTGTTCGTCCCCATCGACGGGACCACGACGCAGATCTCCAGCATCCCCATCATCTCCAGCATCCCCGTCAGGAAGTGGTGCATCACCAGTATCCTCCACATCGTGTCCATGCAGTGGGCAGGGCAAAGTACATAGTCCATTGCTGCGCACTTGCTCCTCCTCCACGCCATCGCACACGTCCTCCAGACCATCATGACTAAGTCCAGCAGTACCGCCCAAGCTGGGTTCCATGGCAGCAGCCAGATCCTTAGTGAATTCGTCCTCTTCCTCGGAGTCGTCCACGGTCTCAGACGCTAGGACCGTGGTGGTGTTCAGCACAGTACCGGTGTTCAGCGTCCCCCGTCGCCTGTGCCAGCAGGAGTTCATCAACGATCTCATCCTCAACATCACGGGCAATGTCTGTCCCAAGGCTGGGAAAGGGGGCGCATATCCAAATTAACCGTTCAACTCCAGGAGAGAACCAGGGTAGTGCAGCATCCACAGTACTAGCTCTCGTTGGTCTTCAGAAAAAGCATTGTGTGAGTCCAGAAACTGAGTGGCCGTGCTCAACTGCGATGGAGTCAACGCCATCGTGTCGTCGTCTCCCAGAGGTTTCTCATGCATGGAGGCGGTGATTATAGACTTGACGAACAGGCTGACCATTTGGAGCGCCCGAAGTTGATTGGTGGCTCGGCGTTCCTCTCCTTCAGTGCTACCGTGCCCACCACTCGCATCCGAAGAGGCAGCAGCATTCGATTGATGAGTCGCATCCAACATTCGATTAGGGTATATCACCGCGAGGCCGTGTGCCGCCATGATTTGGTTGAACAGATCACCCGACCTTCCCGATGCATCCTCCCCAGGAAGATCTTCCACAGCAGAAGACGGCGGTACCGCAGGAGGTGCCGAAACAGACGGCGCGGTAGCCAACCCTCCCAGGGCCGCGCTGCTTGCGAAGTCGCCCTCCGCAGTTCCGACGTCGTTGATGTCGCCGTCCTCTCCGTGGGCTGCGTCACCTGCGGGGTTGAGTGGGTCGTGCACGTCACCATCAACGACCACAACCTGATCGATGACAGGCAGAGGAGCGCCCCCAACACCGCCTCCGAGGAATTGATCTGCCAGTTCGGGTCCCCCCTCTGGCGCCGCGTCAGCGGGCGAGGTGAACGTGTCCGAGATTAAGGCAGCATCCACGGCCTCTAGACTATCATCACGATGGCACACTGGACTGCCCACCTGAGATGGCACATGTGTAAACTCGCCATCGTCATCTGAGTCAGTCGTTGCCTCGGCGGCCAACCCCGCGGAAGTGTATAGCGCTGTTCCATTCTCTCCATCAGCGTCTTCAACTGCGTGAAGCAGCATGAGTTCATCGAGGGACGCATCTTCATCCTCCCGAAAGGCAGGTTCGGTTTCAACACCAGAAGGGCGCGTCGATCCATATTCGCTGTTCATTTCCAATTGATGTTCAGGGTGTTGCAGTAGCCACAGAACTAGCTCTCGTTGGCCGTCGGGAAGAATGCAGTGTGCGTCCAGAAATTATGTGGCCAAGATCAGCTGCGAAGGCGTTAGAATGTTTGTGTACTCATCTATCATCGATTCCCCATTGTGTGTGGCGGTTATTGCGGACCTGACGAGCCCACTGACCGTCTGTGATGCCCGAAGTTGATAGTAAGCTTGGGGTGCTTCTGAGTCTGCATACCTTTGTCCACTGCTTGCGGCGTCGCCGAAATGCATGCCCGCTTCAGCCGCTCCATGCGAGGTCTGGTCTTCGCTGGTGCACGCTGTAGCATGGCGCCCTCCCGCCGAGGACAACGCAGCGCAACCTTGATACGCGCCGCCAAGAGTCCCATTATGGTAAATTACACCGAAGCCGTGCGCTGCCATTGTACGGTTGAACAGATCCGCCGGGTTGCTGGATGCATCCTCCTCCGGTATATCCCCCATTGCAGGGGGGCGACGGTGTCGCGAGCGGGGCCGAGGAAGAGTCGGTCGTAGCATTCCCAATCTCGCTGTATTGAAGCTCCCGCGAACGGCGCCTCGCCATCTGCACTTGTGCCTCGAATTCCTCGCCCGTGTGAATCAGTCCAAAATGGTGTGGGTATTCTGCAGGATCCATCGTTTCATCTTCAAATAATGGCGGTGCCGTAGCAGCTGCCGCCGACGCTGCAACTGCGTCTGGCGCTTCCACCATGCGCTCGATGTCGCCATCCGAAGGGTTAAGGCAACCGTCTTCCCCAATGCTCCCGTCGTCTTCGTCAGGCCAGGGCCCATCATCCGCGTTGCGTTCAGGTTGCGCATGGCCCTGAAAGATGGGAAGAAGAGCTGTGGATGGATAGCTTTGGGGGGCGCATGGCATGAAGACTTCTGGTCCTGCAAACAGTCAGCACGCTCTTCATCAGGCATTATCGTGATGTTCGGGCGCCAATGCATCTGTCGCAGCAGTGCCATCCCTCGACGTCTCAGCAACGTGAGTCGGCGGCGCTCGAGAAAATACCATTGATGCTGAAATTGCGGTCGCAAGCGTTCCCGCGGGATCGCCCCCAGGTACCAGCCACACACGCAAAGTTCGATTGCCATTTCCCATCTCTCAGTGCTGTCCGATATTGCGTTAGCCTCGCGCTGGGGAAGATCTCTGAAGCCATTGCATCGCAGTGTGCCGGCGACGTAAGGCACGCACCACTCTAACCACCGTTGGAAGTCGCTCCCGCTGCTGGAGAGAACCAGAGAGGGAATCCAGTTCTGTGCCCAGATACCAATGAGATCCACCAGCGCAGCATAGCGGGGGTGGTTCATGTGCGGCAGGTCGGGCGCAGCGCCCACAGTGGTGCTTGACGCGCTCCGTGAGGGGTCCAGCGTCGGGGGTTTGGCGCTCAGTTCGCAGCAGTCGCTGTCGCGCAGCATCCGAGCAAGCTCTTCCGCACGATGATCAAGAACACCCAGGCCATCTTGGCAAGAACCTTCCAGCTCAGGGAGAGGATGGCGAGCTTCGTGCTGTAGAAGGGCAATCTCCTCGATCACCTCCCTGGCGACCTTGAGAAAAGCCGGGGCGCGGTGCTCCCACCCGCGAATAGCGAGCAAATTGCGCCCGCGCTCCCTTGCAACAAGCGGCCAGGGATCAGAGTGGGCTTGTCGAAGTTCAGCCATGTGTTGAAGAAGTACACTGCGTCCTCGCGTCGAGTTGTGCCATCCAACATGGGCCATGCCAGCAGCGAAGACAGCGCGGCACTCGAGTGACGGTGCATCGTCAAGGAAGAAAACCAAGAAGCACTTGTAGCGGAGCACGGTCGTCAAAACATCCGCAGCCCATTTCATCCAGCCTTCGAAGTCGGACAAGCCATTGCTCACAAAAACCATGGAGCCAAACCAGTTGCGCGCCCACGACTGAACCCGACAAACCAGTTCGGCAACCCGAGACGCCATCGCTCCCCCAATTTCCTCTGGCAAAGGGATGGCATATCGGCATTCACCGCAGGCGCGCGGAAACCGAACCCGGCGAGGAAGAAGGTTGTGAAGCGTACGTTGGCCTTCAGGAAGAGGTGGAAGCAGCATCAATGGACGTGAGGTATGTGGGCGCTCTTCTGGATGGGAAGGTACAGATGGACGAGGCGACTCAATAGGCCTGCGATGCAATCGAGCCCGTCCAGTCGTTGGACTCGCCAGGGTCCTCGCACGGCTTGCCCCTCGAGCTGCATGATGAAGGCGATCGGGATCGACGACGTCCGAGTGGCGCACGCCGTGGTAGATGATGGTGGCGAGCTGAAGGTTCATGAGATCGTCGTCGCAGCCTCCCCGCAAGCCCCGGCGGTCAAGCACGTCTCCAGGTAGAGGGATGCGCCCTCCCGTCTTGGACATAGCAATGTCCCAAGCCAGACCGCGGCATTCCCAATAGTGACTGATCTCGCCACGGCAACCCTCACATCCGAATCTACAAGCGCGAACACTAGTCGGTATGGAGATACGTGCTGTCGTGAGCAATCCACCGCGCAAGCCTCGAAGTGGTGTGGGTGCCCATGCTGTGGGGTAGGTCAGGAGCTGATCTTTAAGCACGCGCCAATCGATGCCCGCGAGCTCAGCAGCTTTTTGCGGGAACCATTTCGACCAACGCTTGATGGTTGTGTCGATCAACGGCGAGTCGCTTCCTTTGGCGTTGGACAAATTTGGTAGCATCATGCTCTGCACCGCGGCCGAGTAAGCTGTCTTCTGAATCAAGTGTCGTGCCTCTGGGCGTTCCAGGGTGAGACCGCGAGCTGCGAGAGCTCCCGCAGACGTGTTGCTTTTCGCTGCTTCCGCTATCAGCTCCACAAATGATGGCAGAACCCCAAAGCGCGGAGAGAGCAGGCGACAAAGATCAGCCAGGACGCGATGGGGCGCCCAGCGCTCAGCAGCCCGACGAGAAGTCGAGCGAGATACCCAGCGTGTCCAGGATGCATGGAGAGTCCAGATCGTATCAGCGTCGCCTCACAAGAAGGGCCGAGTGCTCGAAGTTTAGGCCCCCCTATTGTCCCAGGCAAAAAGAATCGATGTATCTGAGTGCGCCACCAGGTAGTCGAAGAAGGCGAACCAGGACATGAATATCCTGCTGAAGAAGTTGTTTGGGTAGTGGCTGTAACTGTGCAATGTAGCTCATCGTTGAGAGGGCACGGGCCACATAGTTGATGGCGTTGAGAGAGGCTAGCGCAGCAGATGAGGCCTGCGCAGCCACCCGTGCCATATACTTGTCCCAAGGTGCGAGCCAAGAACAAGCTTCCGACGTAATCCACATGCCGAGATAAAGCAACGTGGCCTCGATCCGAAAGGCAATCCAGTCGGGCACGATGGACGCCAGACACCTGGCTGACGCCAGCGGCAAGATCACACTTCGGAGGCTTGCCACTTTCATGACTCTTGACAGGTAGCGGAGGTCGAGGCGATCGAAGAACTCCACCAATATTGTCGGCACACGCCCGACAGATACCACGGTGCCGGACCTCCAGCCCTAACCGGAGATCTTCAAGGAAAGGCGAAGTGGCTGCAGCGAATAAACTCCCAGAGAGCGCAAACCCCTGAATAATCCCGCATGAGATGCAGAACAAATCTTTGGTGATCCCCGCGATGCGCCCGACGGCGGTGATCGAAGCATACAGCGAGCGGCATGCCGCGAGAAAGGCCGACGGCAACTGCATGGTGTTGAAGATCGCGAAGAAGTACTGCTGGTTGAGACTCGGGAAGGCCTGACCGAAGTCCAGCGCGACGAGAATGGGCTGCTTGCTCTCTACCTGGGGCTGCGAAGATGCTATGCGAGCCATCGCGTCGAGCTCCAGGATGTTGGACGTAACCTGGCGACCAGCGATGCATCCCCTTTGCGCCGAAGAGGTAGTTTGCCGCACGATCGGAGAGGAGGCATTGTTGAGGGTCGCCGAGATGACCTTCACGTCGGTGTTACGAAGGCCAAGAGTCCGCGCTGCACTGTGTCAGGGGTCCGAACCACACCTCGCTCATCATCGTCGCCAGCGCGATAACCTTTTGGAAGAAATGCTTGGGCGTAGCCCCTGCTGAAAGGGAAAAGCGCCTGGCCGTCCATCATCCAGCAGCAGGCGTGCCAGAGAGCCACCGCGCCGTGCTCATGAGCAGACCACGCTGAGTACGGTAGTCCATCGACGCCAGGTGCCTCTCTCGACAGAGCCATACGCTGAAGCGTGCGTTGAAGCATCTGCAGAGACGGAGGCTGCATCCCATCAAATACACACGTCTTAACGAAGCGCTTGGCGTAAGCTTCAGCATGTCCAGTAAAAGATGGAGGTGGCGCAAAAATCGGTGCCCAATAGTTGACTTGCGCTTCCAATTTATCATCAGGATCTGACAGCATGGCCTCCCCAAATTGCACAGCCCGTAGGGTTAGTCTCTTGCCAAAGGGAACCCAGAGCTGGGCTTTCCTTTGAGCTGCCGATAGTGTCCCTTGAGAACCCTTTGTCCGCCCTTTGCCAAGTAATGCGCTATGCTGAAGTTGCGTGTATTCTCGTTCGGCTGCACGGTGATGAATAGTTTCCACCCATACTTGAAAGGCTAAGGGCTGGACCAAGCAGACCGAGCCATCGCCGGTGATATCGGCGCAGCACCTGGAAACCTCCGTGGAGTTCGCAACCTTTAGCGCCAGCCCAGTGTCTTCTCGCCATATCGCACGTGCTGCTTGCCTGGCAAAGATCTGCCGAGCTTCCATGGGACGCGTCATCGTCAACAAGGATCTCCTGCAAGGTATCATACGCGGCAGCTTCCATCAGCGTCTTGTCGCGCTCGAGCTGCCAAGGGGGGGACATGTCCGCCAGCTACTTGCCATCTTGCCGAATAAGTATGCCTAGCCGCTCCTTAAACTCCGCACGCTGATAACCAAAACGAGGAACAGGCCGTCGGTATCGATCATGAAGGGACCGACGTTGCAGTTTAACCCTAAGCGCAGCGTGATCTGTGACTTCTTGAGCATGTATCATTTCAGGGGAAGAAACAACCGATGCATTGTGATGTAGTTGGCAGGCCACCCACCATGGCTCGGACAACCACATGCGGTCGATCTGAGCCAACGAACGCGAGTCTTTACAGTAGTGAGTAGGATCTTCCGCCGCCACTTCCGGCATTCTATCCAACGCCGGCGTCCATATCTTCACGTGCGTCCTGTTGTTCTTTGTGGCATGTGCTTGCCGCTGCTGAGCAGGTTGGGCCAGGTTTGGCGGGTCCGAGGCCGCGAAGTTGAAGCCCCCACAGACCGCGACCAGGCGGGCACGGGGATCTCCCTGCGCCAACGAGAGATCTCCCACGATAGCCGCTGAAACCCTGTGGACATCGTCTCTCGCAATGTCGTGATCGTGAATGTTGTAATGACGAATCTCTGAGCAAGAGCCCATCAGCCACGTTTTGAGCACCGCCCCCGTACCAACAGGCGAGAGTAAGATGTAGCCGCCGACGTTGGAGACAATGGTATCACCGCGGCTACTCCCCCACGAGTATGCCCATGAGAATCCATGTCGAAGGGGCCAAAGACAGTGGACCCAGGCGCCGCACGGCGCATGAAAACCCGTAGTTCTTCAAGAGTCTGGCGTACTTCTTGCAGCGCAACGACCGAGTAGGTGACCCCTGCTTGATGCATGTAGGTTGCTTTTGCCATAGCCTGCTGCCCTCGCCATCGAAGTAGTGCTCTTTCGCTCCATGTCGCGAAGGTCTGTTCGGCCGTCCTCGGCGCAGAACCTCCCAGAACGCTGCGAGTGAAGATGTCGTCAAACGTGCTGATGTGACCACTCTGGGGCTGCCGTCGGTGCTGCAATGGGCTCGAACAGCTGTCGTAAGTCAACACGTGTCCATTGTCTTGCTGAGATTGCGGCGTCGCGCCAGTAGATCTTGGTGGGCTCGCGCCCAGGTTGAGGCTCGATCTGCGCGATAGGATTCCAACTCTCTGATCTCCAACCATCTTGCCGATCGAGGAAGAACTCGGCGTCCGTGTAGCGCTCCTTGAGCACGGCGACCATCTTCTTCCCAGCGATCTCCATCTTGATCTGGTACGGGTTCTTGTCGGGGCCGATGTGGAGCTGGGTGCTTCCGCCGCTGGCAGCTGGAATGGGAAAACGCATCCATTGTCTTTTACCTGGGAGACGCATGGCCGCGAATGCCGCGAGCACCTTCTCGCCTGCAATGCCGACAGCGCCATTGAACTGCATTCTGAACAACTTGTCCTGGTCGTCGCAGTTGAGTGCGCTTCCGTCGATCTCGGCGTCTTTGAGCCATTTGTCGATGGAGCCCTGGACGCCCCTCTTCTTGACAAGCGCGGGCGCCACCACTTTGAGAGTAGTTCCATCGATTTCACGAGCGAATCCAGGCGCTGGCTTGGGGTGAGGGGGTTGTCGGTTGGCCGCCGGCAGCTCGCGCCGAAGCTCATCCACCATGCCGCGCATCTGTTCCATCTCGCAGGCCAGGTTCTCAGTCCGCCCGTCGATGTCTCGCGCCTGAGCTTGGAGGGAGTCGATCTGCCCCTGTAGCCCCCGCTGCGTCGCTTCAAGTTCGGGCTTGAGCTGCGCGTCCAGATGAGTCCTGCACGTCTGTGGTACTTGCAGCACTGCTGCTTCAGCTCCACGAATGGCGGCCATGACGGGATCGACGGCGGAGATGGCAGCTTTGCTGGCAGAGGCGGTGACCAGCTCGGTGACTTCTGACTGGAAGGTATGAAACTTCGCCTGCAGGTCACCATGGGTAGGGCCCTTGATGTGGACGTCCCAGCCCTGTGAATCCATTTGGTCGCCCCCGTCGTCGCTGGAGGCGCCCCGATGGGACCGAGAGCGAGCGGCATCTTCTTCTGGAGGGGGCCGAGCAGGAGCGCCATCACGAGATCCCACATCATCAGCAGCACGAGCGATACGACCCTTCTTCTTACTTTTGGGACGATCAGGCATGGACAGGGGCGCGCGCGGGCGCGGGGCTGCGCGGCCCCGAGATGAACTGGCCGCGATGACAGCGGTATCCGCGCAAAGCCAATGGGCCCGGCCCACCGCAGCATTGAGCATTGAGCCAAAATTGCCATGGAGGGGGAGGGGGGGGGAAGGAGGAGAAAGGAGGAAGAAGATGAAGAGTAGGATGAAGGGGAGGAGACGGAGAAGGAGGAGGAGGAACAAAATGAGGAGGAGGGGGAGGAGATGAATGCGGACGTAGAGGCGGAGGAGGTAGAGGCGGAGGAGGCGGAGGAGAAGGAGGGGGGGGGGGGGAATAATCAGCCGAACGAGGCGTGTGGAGTTCAAGAAGTCTAAGCTGAAGCTCTGCTTCAGCATGAGCTTTAGATATGTTCTTATTCTTTGTTTGGGGGGGGGAGAAGAGGGGGGGGGGGGGGGGGCGCGCGCGTGGGTCGGGGGCGTCTAAGAGGCGGCGCCCAAGAAGGGGGGTCGCAAATCATGGCCAGAGGCACGCGCGCGCCCCTCGAACGCGGCAGGCCACATGTTCACGTAAACGCTCACGGCCGAGCGCGACGCGGGCAGCTCGCGCGAAACTGTCGTCCACACTGTCCAACCAAGGGTGAGTTTTGCAAGGGGGGGGGGGGGGAGGGGGGGGGGGGGGGGTGGGGGGGGGGGGGTGTCATCAATGGCGATTCAATGCTTTCCCCCCCCTCCCCCCCTGCCAGCGCACCCCCATCGGACCTTCGCCCCCCCCCCCCCCCCCCCCCCCTCCACCCCGCCCACCCGCCCGCCCGCCCTCCTCTGAGCCATTGCTCTGCAAGGGCGCGGGCGGGAGACAGATGGGGCGGGGGGGGGGGGGGCGGAGTGGTCCTCTGCAAGGGGAGGAAGAAGGGGGGGGGGGGGGGGGGCGAACTGCAAGGGGGAGCGGGGGGGGGGGGGGGGGGGGAAGGGGGGGGGGGAGGGGGAGGGTGGGGGTGTGGGGGGGGGGGGGGGTGGGGGGGGGCGGGCGGGGGGGGGGGGGGGGGGGTAGGGGGGGGGGGGGGGGGAAGGGGGGGGGGAAGGGGGGGGGGGCTTCTCGAGCGGGGGCGGGAGCTGCAGGGGAAGGCGAGAGGGGCCCGCTTCGACAGACGGGCGCTCTGCAAGGGGAGGGGGCGGTGACAGGGAAGAAGGGGTGGGGGGGTGGGCAAGGGAGAAGGGGAGAGGGGATGGGGGGGGGGGGGCATGAGAGAAAGGAGGAGGGGGGGGGGGGGGGGGGGAGAGGGGGAAAGGGCAAAGGGGACAGTGAGAGAAAGAGGGGGGATGGGGGGGGGAAAAAGAAGGACTGGGAGGGGGAAGGGGAAGGGGGGGGGGGAAGAGCGAAAGCGCGGCGGGGGGGGGGGGCGGAGAGGAGGGGGGGAGGGGGGGGGGGGGGGGGGGGGGGGCGCGAGGGACGAGGCCTGGCGCAGCCGTCCGACGAGACGAACAGCAAGCGGGGCGGCCGAGGCGGCCGCGCCCCCAAGCGAGGGCGGAGAAGGCGCCCGCCACCAGCTCCAGCATGGGCCCGCCCCCAGGAGGGGCCAGACGGGCCATCGGCGCAGCAGATGGCGACGCCACCGCTCCCCCAGACGGGGAGCCACGCGGGCAATAAAGAAGCCAACGCCCACCTGGAGGAAGCAGGGCATGGCTGACATGAAAAGGGCGTCGCCGAGCGGGGGCCCGACGGCGAAGACCGCCGCGCGAGCCGCGCGCAGGACCCGCCCCCACGAGGAGCCAGACGGGCCAATCTCGCAGCCGTCGGCGACGCCCCCGCGCTCCCTCAGGGATCAGCGGGCAATATGTAGCGGCTGCCGATCCTCGCAGGGTGACAGAGGACCCGCCGCCAAAAACATATCCAACGATCCGACACCGTCGGCGCGCAAACTAGGATGACGTCCGTCGCACCACGTGTCCACAGACGCCGCTGAGACCCTCGCTGTGGCCCGTCCCCCAGCTGGGCCAGACGGGCCATCGCGATAGCACCATTATGCAGCAGGCCCGTCCTCCAGAAAGGCCAGACAGGCCATCAGCGCGCACGCCCCCGAGGTAGTGGCCACCATCCCGCCGCGCAGTGCTGGCGAAGGTAGCCGCCCACGCCGTCCAACCAAGGTACTGACCACAGCCCAGCCACATTGTGCCAAGTACAGTAGCAGCCACCAACAGAAAGTACCAGGGGCAGACCGCCCTCGAACAATTGTCGAGTGCAACCGATGTCCAAGGCCCGTGCCCAGCAGAAGGCAAGCGCACCTGTCGCCAAAAGGTGGCCAGGACACCCTCACGGGTCGCTTCCGCAGGGAAAGGAGGCATGAGAGGCAAGCGCATCTGTCGCCAACAAGTGGCCAGAACACCCTCACGGGTCGCTCTCGTGCGTCCTGGCCTTCGAGGAGGCAAATGCAGCCGTCCCCAACGGCTGGCCAGAACACCCTCTCGGGTCGTTCCCCTTAGACCATTGGGCGTGCATCCTGGCCTTCGGAGAGGCAAGTCACCAGCGACTGGCCAGAACACCCTCGCGGGTCGCTCTCCTGAAGCCAGTGTGCACACGCGATAGACGTCCTTCAAGCCGCCGGCGCAGAAACTTTGCGAAGCCTCCTTGGGGAACAGCGGGCAAGGTGAGCTTGACGTTGTTTTTGGGGCGCAGGCCCTTCAACAAACGCCGTCTTACCGAGTCAGTATTCGAAAGGCACGTCTTACCTTTTCCTTCGCCACTCGGGATCCCGCAACACTCCGCCAACAATTGCAAGGACGCACCTCCCGCCGACCACGCAACGCAGACCTCGCAGAAAACCGTAGGCCCTGCGCGTCGGAGATGATGCCCATTGCATTGAATGAGTGCATTGAATCACAAACCTGCCCGCCTCTGAGACCTGAAAAGCGATGCCGCCACCAAACCCCACCATAGCCTCAGCACGTAAAGCGTCGAGGCATGACGGCTGACACGGCTTTCTGAGAAATAGGTTCCAGGCCGCCTTTGAATTGACTGCTGTACGTCTGGCGCACTGCCTGCACACGAACGAGCCATCCGAAAACTTCGCAACCTCGTGCGAGGTCACCTGCACGGGCATAATGCGTGCCCCCACTGGCTTGGGCATCGCGTCCGGGAACTCCGGCCCCCACTTGCCAGCGCGCATGGTACGCTGCAGCACCCACCCAATGTAGGCCGCAGCACGTTTGGCGAAATTCATCTCGAGCTTGTAGCATTCGTCGTAAACTTTCGGCGCCGCACGTACGTCAGCACCTCGCCGAGCAAACCAGTCAGCCCACACATTGCCCAAGTAGAGCAGCGGGCTGAGGCCTTTGTCGGGGTAATCGTCCACGTCCTTGTGCGCAGGAGTCCAGGTGACATTCGGTCTGGCTGGCTGCGATTGGAGACTGCGCCACATGGTAGCATGGACCGCCGAAGCTGACTCCAACTCAGGGCCTTAGGACTTTGCCTCCGCCTCCAGCGCAAGCAAGCCCGTGAACACGTATTGCAGATTGGCCCCAAAGAGCTTGGTCGCCATCAGCAGAGCATACCTCTCGGATCTTCTAACCGTCTGCAGCGGCCCAGCTAACGGGCCAGAAGCTGCTCGGATCGGAATGCCCTGCCTCGCAAACTGCACCACGGCCCAACCGCGCCTCTTGAGCGCAGGAATGGAGGGGGCTAGGCCTGAGCCGCCCGTGAAGACAGCATTCCCCGATAGCTCCTTTGGCGTAGCCCAGCCGCCCCAGAAGCGCATTGGGGGCCCACCTTCCACCTTGGGAATCGTAGGCGGCATGCAGGGCAGGCGCGCCCCCAGCTCGAACACGTCCCAACTTGGGCCAGATAGCTGCTGCATACCCTTGTCCCTCATGTAAGCGTAGAAGTGGTCAAACTACCAGGGAGAACGTTGCCTGCCTCCTCGGCGCCGCCATCAGGGTCCAAGACGGACCCGCAACCGAAGAACCTGTGACCATGAGCGTCGCTAGCATGCCCACATGCCAGACAGGCTGGCGACTTGACCAGCTGGAAGTCGCCCTTGGCCTGCCCCGTCCGAGGTACACCTGGCCAGTGAGCACGTGCACTTGGAGCCTGCGGCCCTTCGCTGACCGCAGCGCCTCTAGCTCCAACCCGCTGCCTCATGGCACGGACCCACAGCTGCGCATGTTCGCCGTTGGGGTGCCCGAACCTCGGTAAGATGCGCTTTCCTTGCCACCTCTCGATTGACTCAACCAGATGGCAACGCAAATCCTCCGGACTGGTAGCCAAGAGGTTGGAGTGCTCCTCGCGGTCATTGGCCAGGATCGTAGATGAGTGCATAAGCCAATCAATGCGCCAAAGAGACAGGATCGTAGACGCGATGGGCCCCCTCGCTTCCCTCCAAGAAGTCTCGCCCTCGCCAACCATCCTAGTAGCGATAGCTGCCCACGCGTGGTGGAGCTGACTGACGGGGACCCGGCCTTCCCAGACTGCCGCCGCGTACCGACAAAAGAAGTCGCATGTGGCCATGTAGATGGGGTCGGACTCTTCGGGGGCGCTGCGTGGCCAGGTAGAGCGTGGGACTAGAAGAGCCTGGCCTGGATTCAACAAGACGTCCTGCTTCTGTCCTTACCTGATTTAGATGGTGCTGACTGAGACCTGCAACGCCAGCCCCATGCCCAGCACATGGAAGTAGACCCGTTTTCCATAAGCAGATGACCGTCTTGCCCGCTGCCTCCTGGAGCATGCTGAGCCGTCGCCGACGAGCGATAACGCCAGCGATGCGTTGACTCGTGAGCTTTCTGGATTTCTTTTTGCCGCACATGCCATGCCCGAGGCTACGAATCCATCTACGACAGACCAAGCCTTTGGCACCACCAAGCTTCTTGCATTCCGC